GGGAAATGGTTGAGAAGCGCCGTGGAAATGGCTGGAGGGAGGGAAAAGAGAGAGGCCAAGCGATGGAAAGAGGAGGGGAGAGGGGAGAGGGGCCTGCTCCTGGAAGCCCTCATTGCTGAATGAGTCTCCCGGGTGGAAAATATTTGCTGATGGCTCAAAAACAAACGGAAAAAGCCAGCGCTGAGTCCTCTGTCCAGAGCGCGGGTCCAGTCACCAAGCCTTTGACTTACCATGTCCTCCTTGCTTCCTAGAAGTGATTCTATTCAGAGGAGTAACTGGAGCAAAAGGAAGGAAGAGGACGGACACAAGATGAAACCCTGTCAAAAAATGGAAGGAAAACCAGAAAACGAGAGTGAACCAAAGCTGGAGGAAGAGCCAAAGTCTGAGGAAAAGCCAGAGGAAGAGGAAGAGCCAAAGGAGGAGGAAAAAACAGAAGGAACTTTCAGAGAAAGGCTGATCCAGTCTCTCCAGGAATTTAAAGAAGATATTCACAACAGGCATTTAAGCAAGGATGACATGTTTAGGGAGGTGAATGAAATAGACGAGATAAGGAGAGTAAGAAACAAGCTTGTGGTGATGCGTTGGAAGGTTAATCGAAACCATCCTTACCCCTATTTAATGTAGTTTGCCTTGATTTTTATTTTTTCTGATATTAACATTGCCATATAGCTTTCTTGTGATTTGCATTTTTCTGATAAACCTTTGTCCATTTTTCTACTACTAACTTGTTGCTATTAGTGGTTTTAGATGCATCTCTTGTTTCTGCATCTCATTGTTTATCATATTTTGAACCAATCTCCAAGTTTCTGCAATTTAATAGGAGAGAGAGCTTTACTCATTTTACAAAAGGAGGTCCTCCTGACAGGATAGAAAATGAAAAATGTTACTAAGGAATATGTGAATATCATATTTTTAAAAGGGAAGAGTATGTTTGTATGTACATATATACACAGAAAAACATGTGAGGGATGAAAGACAAAAAAGTTCATTGGTAGGATTATGAGTGATTTAAAAAATTCTGCTTACTTGTATTTTTCCTTATTCCTAGAATATACGCGCATTGTTAAAATAATAAAAGTTTTATGACAAAAAGTGATAACCAGCAGCACTTATCAGTTTATTTCTAAAGTCATTGGGACACTCGACATTTGTTGACAGAATTTTAGAAGCAAATGTGAACAAATTACCACCAGAGTTTTATATCTTTTCTTATCTATAAAAGAGAGATAATAATGATCTCTAAGGGACCTTGTGAGAGCTAAATAAGGTAATGACTGAGCTATATCTGACAGGTTTTTTCTCCCATCTGCCCATGCAGGATCCCAACTCCCAAGAGACTTGTTTCAGCTATCTGGAGGCTAGAGAAAGTAATTTTCACCTGTGCTTAAGAACAAATCCAGGCCAACTGGATGCCATCTTTTATGTTCTCTTGCTATACCTGCCCAAATGCCCATCCCCACCTTAATACTATCATATATATTGGATATTCCTGCCCCTTCACCCAGGTTCTGTACCTTTTAGGCCCCTACCACTGTTGATATTTTGGAATTCTCAAATAGTGAAGCCCAACACATTTCTTCAGGACCTCGAGTAGGCTGATTTCCCAGACTGACCTCTACAGAAATGGGGAGAATGTCCATCTCAATTTAGACAGACATGCAGGGCCACTTGGGCCATGATACAGATATCTGGGCAACTGGATTTTTAATCACAGGCCCCCTCTTTCCCATAAGATTCAGGATAATGGGTCTGTTTAGGGGTTGGACCAGAAGACAAGTCTGAGTAACAGATGTTATGCTTTAGTCATTTCTCTGAATCTAAAGATTATGGTTTTATCTTCCTGACTTTTGGGGTGAGTGATCTTTTCCAGAAGATCGGTGGCAGGCCCTCTTCACCAGTTCAACAGATACCCTTAGACATGTGTGAAGTGTAAGGTGATGTTCCAGTCAGGTTTGGGGATATTCCCATCCTCACCTGGAAACATGAAAGTACTATATAAGATGGTGTCTCTATACTTCTAAATCTGCATATCTATATATGTATCTACGGCTTACAGTTGTACCAGTTGTGTTATTTTTCCTCTGTGACACTTTTTGGGGGGCCATTCATTTTTCCAGACTGTTCTATAAGTTTGCAGTAGCCTGGTGGTTGCTGGCCAGGCTGGATTCTGGCTGGAGTGAGATGAAGGTCCAGGGGCTCACTGTGGCAGTTTTCTGGACAGGACGAAGCCATTACCCTGGCACTCGGATGGCACTCTGGAAGGATGTGAAAAGACTCACTCAAGCCACACTACTCTCCAGGGAGGTCTGCCTTCGGTTTCTCTGTTCCAGCCTGCAGCATGCACCAGACTCCTAGGCTGATGGCCAGGCTAACTGTCCCCATTGCAGGTCAGAGCACTAGACTTCCTTTCCCCCTTTTTTCCTTCACCAGGGGCTTGATGAGAACTTTTTATAGGGAAGGAGATAAGACCTCAAAATTTATTAACTAAAAACATTGGTTGTGGTAGTCTGTCCCGGCCATGACTACTTTGATATAATCAGCTAACTTGGAGTTAAAGTAGGGGGACCTAGTGGTAGGTGGAGATGATTTTAGTATGCAAATATTTTAAATTGTAATATCCTTGTGTTTATTTGAATGTGTATTTTTTTAAATACTTCTTTATTGATTTCAGAGAGAGGAAAGGAGAGGGAGAGAGAGAGATAGAAACATCAATGATGACAGAGTCATTGATCGGCTGCCTCCTGCACACCCCCGAATGGGGACCGAGCCCGCAACCCGGGCATGTGCCCTGACCAGGAATTGAACCCCGGTTACCTGGATCCTAGGTTGACGCTCAACCGCTGAGCCATGCTCGGCTGGGCTGAATGTGTATTAATGAACACTCTGTCTACGTCAAGTTATGATAGTTTAGATTTAGGGTGATGCTGTAAATTTTCCTTTTCAAAAAGGTATTCAAATTAAATGAGTCAATTTGAAGACAATAATGAAGTAGAACACAATATTAATAGTGTAAATGGTATACTAGTATGGCAAAAATCATTCTGGGGGGAAACATTGCCTTAGCATAATTGATTTAAGGGTAATATTTGGAAACACCTGTCAAGAACTGTGCAAAGATTGTACCCTACTTATAAGTTAACAGGTTAACCTGATACTGGCTAATGGATACTGGGAGAAGACACTAGAATCTCAGGTCAGAGACAAAGGACATTATTACTCAGCAAAAGTAGTAGTCAGAGTTTCATACTGGTTTGTATCAGTTATCCATGATCCTCAAGTCCCATGGAGTGGCACAGGGCTCATTATGGATGCCTGTACATGCAGTGCACTGTGTTGCAGGAAAGAAACCCTGAATTTGGAGAATTCGCCACTTTCTTAGTAAGCAGAAGCAAGCCTGCGCTCTGCCCAGTGAAAGACATTACCTCATCCCTCAAAGTTGCTTGTGTTGCAAACACAACTCTGAGAAATGGCTTGTCTGTGTAGAGTGATTAGGCCTTACCTCTTGGTACACCCAGTTAGAACGTGCAAGGAAGCTCAGGACCCAAGGCAGATTGCCTCTCCCAATAACAGTTTTCTCTGTGCAATGAATCTTAATGTGAATTTCTAATTTCCTAACATCACAAATTTTGATTTCTAATTCCAAGTTAAATAAAGCAAATAATTCATTATACTGTAGAGTGTAAACAAGATATTTGTAACTCTTTCTAGTTTTTACTTAAATGCATAGGATTTTGAATAAATCCTAAATAACTGAATGAAAACATCAACTAAGAAACTAAAAGTAAATAGTTTATGAGGGACTTTAAAATTACAGAAACACATAGCTACAATGATGCACAAAATAAAAGAAGGAGCAGTGCCAATGAATTTACCAGGATGTTAATGACAGGAATAATCTTATACAAAATTTTGCACTGCAAAACTGACAGGAAAGTGTGTTTTTGAAAGTCAGCCCCCAATCTCATATATCACTGCTGCCTCGATAAAAGGAAAAGGCAAAAGCTAAGAGAAAAGTGGGTCAGTACCCTCTACAAGAAAAGTTCAAGGTAGGCTAAGGTTTGTTACTCACAAGTAACAGTATCCAAACGCAGTTATTTGATATTCTGACAACACTGTTTTGCAAGAGCCTTAGCAAAAACAATTGTATCATTTGGTGGATAATTTGGTTGGGAATGGAGTATCTTTTTGAGTATTTATTGGCCATTTTTACATCTTACTTTGAGAAATGTCTTTTCCAATATTTTGCCTGAATCCTTAATAGTTTTAGTATAGTGTGGGAAAAGGATCTATTTAAAGGAATGAGGTAGATCCATATGTACACATGTTCATCATGCATTAGTAAAAGAAAAATGAAGGACAGCAGGCACAGTACAATATATAGCCACCCACATAGCTACATACACATATATACACATACCCACAAATAACAAAATGAAACCCTTTAACTTACTAAAGGGAAGGATAACATCTGTTTAAGTGGTATTTTGCTATCTCACGAGACCTTCTGCTATCTGGTTCTTAAAGAAAAATAACTATTTTTTAAAAAATAACTATTTTAAAAAATGTTTTTATTGATTTCAGAGAGAGGAAGGGAGAGAGAGAGATAGAAACATCAATGATGAGAGAGTCATTGATCCGCTGCCTCCTGCGCGCCCCCCACTGGGGATCAAGCCCGCAACCCGGGCCTGTGCCCTGACCGGGAATCAAACAGTGACTTGGTTCATAGATTGATGCTCAACCACTGAGTCACACGGGCCAGACAAGAAATAACTATTTTTTTAAAATTTATCCTAATGGACAATTCTATTATCCTTGCATTGTAACGGTCAGAACAGTTTCTTCGATTTACACAGTCTTTCTTCCATGAACTCTGAGTTCTTTTTCAGATCTTATATCACTAACCTACTATTTGATAGAAAAAGAAAATGAGGCATAGAGAGATTGTCTTGGCTAAGGTCACCCACCTATTAAATGGAATGCCCACCTAAGGTCAAAGCCCTTGTTTCCTGATCTCTGCTCTGCAACAGTTGGTATTTAATAAATAGTAACAACAACAACACGCCGTTGTGCTGAATAAATTCCCATCATCACCTCAAAGTTTATGCCCTTTCAAGTCCTGGTTGGTTTCCACGGTTTTCCTTGCCCAAAATAGTCTCTCAACTACTCCTCACACACTTAGCCTGGATAACTCCTACTCATCCATCCCATAAGAGATATTACTTCTTATTTTATTTTATTTTTAAATGTGCTTAATGTTTATATTTTTATTTTATTTTTATTGAATTTATTGGGGTAACATTGGTTAATACAATTATATAGGTTTCAGGAGTACAATTCTGTAACACATCATCTGTGTATTGTATTGTGTGTTCACCACCCAAAGTCAAGTCTCCTTCCATCACCATTTATATGCCCTTTACCCTCTTCTGCCTCCCCCCATCCTCCTTTCCCTCCTTACTGTTGCGTGTGTGTATGAAGTTTTGGGGGATTTTTGGCTTAATCCCTTCACCTTTTTCACCCAGCCCTGCAGCACCCCTTCCCCTCTGACAGCTGTCAGTCTGTTCTCTATCTGTGAGTCTGTTTCTATTTTGTTTGTTAGTTTATTTTGTTCATTAGACTCACATATGACTGAAATCACATGATACTTGTCTTTCTCTGACTGGCCTAGCATAATGCTCTCCAGGTCCATCCATGCTGTCGAAAACGGTAACATTTCCTCCTCCTCCTCCTCCTCCTCCTCCTCCTCCTCCTCCTTCTCCTTCTCCTTGTCCTTGTCTTTCTCCTTGTCCTCCTCCTTCTTCTCCTCCTTGTCCTTGTCCTCCTTCTCCTCCTCCTCCTCCTTCTCCTT